TTCACAGCTGTCAACTCTTGATTCAAAGTCAGGGCATAACTCTCTCATGCCACCCCCCTGTCTCAACATAAATCAGATTTCACTTGATTTTATGAGTGTCTTTTATTTATTTTATTCTCCCCACCCCCATTTATCTTGGAGATTGCCACTCTAAAAATGATGCTGTAATAACAACTCCAGGGAAAGTTGCCAAACTTTATCCTCTTCATTCTTAAATATATTAAAAGTGGCAAGTGTAAAAGTGTAATGTTTCATATTCTCAGTTACTCTGTTGGTTAAGGTCAAGAATATAGTGACTGCATCCCTTTGCAGAAGGGTAAAAATCTTCAATGAGGAAAAACCTCTTTATTATAGCTATGCCTACACTTTTGACTCTTGTCAAAATGAAACTCATGTCTACCAATTTGACACTCATGCAAACTAAACCCATATCTACCATTTTGACTCCTGAAAACTAAACCAATATCTGTCTTTTTGACATTCAAGCAAACTAAACCCATGTCTACATTTTTGACTCTCATGTAAAATAAACCCATGTCTACTGTTTTGACTCTCATGGAATCTAACCCCATGTCTACCTTTTTGACACTCATGCAAACTAAACCTATGTCTACCTTTTTTATTCTCATGTAAAGTAAACCCATGTCTACCTTTATGACAAACATTAAAACAAAGGGAGAGAAAGTGCAAGAATAAAAAATATTACTTGCCATATAGTTGTGAATGTTTTTTTCTTATATTTTTCAATTCACTCCTTTATGGAGAGTAATAGTTTTTTTCTTATACTTACTCTTCCTTTCCCTTTGGTTTAATATATTTGTGTATATTATTCAAATATTTACATTTTTAAAATATCTGTTTTTAAAGTTATTACACAATTATTATTGTATTATTCTATTATTATTATTATTAGTAGTAGTAGTAGTAATAGTAGTATTGATGATGATGATTGTGAGATGTGTGTCATTTATTCTGAATCTCCATTTCTGTCGTAAAAAAAACGTTGATTTTCAACTTAGCAGTTCTGCCTGGATGTCTTACCACATCTGGAAATCCTGCATATTGTGTTGACAGAAGGAAATAAACCAAACTATTGGAGGAAAAAAGAATCTATTGAAATGCAATAAAAGACATGAAAGAAAAAAAAATATCCTTATTTCGAAGCCTCCAAAATGTTGAGTAAGCAAAACAAGTAAATTCAATTAAATATTCTTAGAAGGAAAAAGTAAAAGATTTTTTTTTGGCTTTAAAACATTGTGCATGAAAAGGTTTATTTTTGTTTTCACCCAATACAAGGCCCAAGTGCCACTCCAGGTAGATGGTTACTAAATCAGATTGTTATAAGGGAGTACAGTGTGTAGGGGGGAGTTAAAGGTGTATATTATGATATACAGGATAGATAAAGGTTGACCCTAGACTTGAAAAGGTTAAGATTGTAGTGATCAGGAAAACATGTTCTCTTCCATAATGTAAGATTTCTGGAGAAAGCTGTGTGAGTGGATCTTCCTCCTTACCAATGGAATACAAAGATAATGAGGATGAGTCAACTCAGTGTATGTGACAGAGCAGGTTCTGGCTGTGAAGGTCTGGTCTGGACTGGTGGAACTAAAGAATGTAGCTCACCTGAACATCTACCATGAAAAAAGAGATAAAGTAACTAGAGGCTAGCATCATTTTTCTTATGGGAAATGACCTGTAGGGTGGGAAATAATTCTTCACCTCCAGGACATCACAAATGCTTTTAAATGCATTCAAGAGGGTGCTGAAAAAGTCTCGGCCAAACAAATTTCCAAAATTTTAAATAAATATAATTTTTTTTTTTTTTGTAAAGAGAAGTGCTTCAGCACTCTCAAAAATTAATGCAGTTGAATTGCTGACATATATGGTCCGATGCCCCTGATATTTACCTTGAGCTCCTAGATAAGATCCAATGAAGAATCTGCAATATTATTAGTCTTGATCTGGCAGCTCAGCTCCAGTCACTTTCCCACTGCTGTAAGGCTTGCCTCTCTTTTCTATAAATACTTTCATGATAATTGTTCAGATGAGCTCTTTGTTATGGCACCTGGAATTTTTTAATTTAAGGGCAGCACTAGACTGACATCAAGATCTCATCAATTTACAGTTGAGCTGTAGCTGTAAGTTCTATGCTAACAGTTTCTTCTCTCACACTTCTCGCTTGTGGAACTCCTTTTTGGCTCCATGTTTTCCAGCCAACTTTAATCTTCAAAAATTTAAATGCAATGTCAATCACTATCAACTGTCCACCTGATTACTCTCTTCTCTTTCTGCTCATCATTAATGATTTTGTTCCTAATTCTTCCACACACTGTAACACATTGCGTCTTAGTGGCTTTGCTGCCTTGATGGGGGGGTTCCATTTAAAAAAAAAATATATATATATATTACAATAATAATATTGTGTGTTTGTGTATGTATTGAACTGTGTCTAGGCTGGAAAGTTAGGATTGGTACTTTCTAACTCTAAGTCAGCTGAATGATCTTAAATGAATAAAAGGTTTGCTTTTTCGTTTAGCATCTCTTTCCAATGTTTTTCTTAAAGATTATGAAGTAGAAATGCAAATGTTAAATTATTTGAATTTTACTAATTAGTTTAAAACAAAGTTTTTGTAATTGATAATAATCCTTTAAAGGATATCGATGGTGGCATTTTTAGTCAGGTAATGATTTTTATGAATCACAACACGCATTTGTTGGTAATATCCTGTAAAAATACACCTTTTGTTAAAATGTTTCAAAATTAAGGACAATTGCAGGCAATATGTTTTTTGGTAGTCAGCAGAGGATGACTATTTTGTTCAAATTCTTGTGTTTGCTGAATCAAATATTGGCAAACTTTTCAAAAAGTACCTGAACCCATTGAAGGATAGAAAAATTAACTTCAATTTCTATTTTTTTTTTAAACCTGTAGTTTCTGATAGGTAAGAGTAGATAAATTTTGAATCCTGTTTGCAAGAATGTGTATGTGTGTGTGTATGCCACTGAAAAAGTCTTGCTCTAACAAATTTCCAAAATTCTAACCAAATATAAAAGATTTTATAAAGAGAAGAGCTTCTTAGTTAAGCTGAGAACTTTTCAGCACTCTCAAAAACTGATATGGCTGAACAATATAATAATAATAATAAAGTATACATATGTTTACATATATACATATATGTGTGTATGTGTATAAATATTTATATGATGTGTGTGCTACTTAGCATCATTCCTGTGAGAAAAGTGACAATTATTTGCATAAGGATCTAAGTGTAGTATCACTGTATTCTGAAAAGCTTTATGTACATATAATTAAATAGATATACATAATTAATTTTATAGATTTGGCATGAGAAAAGATAGCTTGGGGAATTTGACACTCACAGGACAAGCTAAAGGCAAGAGGGACAGTGGAAAACAGTGAGTAACTTACCTTGTTTAAATGGATGTCAGATCAGAGCATGGGAAGGGCAGTAAAAAAAAAAGCAAACATTGCTAAGAGCTACTAGGAAGTTGTGGAGAGCTACTATTGCCCGGGGCCTGAATGGACATAGCACATGAAAGAAGAACTACCTTGGCGATCAACCACTTGTCTGTGAGAGAATTTTTGCTAATTTTTTTTTTTTTTTTTGCCTCTACACTTTTCTGTTTTTTTATTTGATCTATTTTGTTTGCTTATTCAATACTGTTAGAGCAGTTGGATTTTTATTTTTTTTCTGTTTAAGGCTAAGAACAAATAGGGAGGGTGGAGTTGAACTCCTGAGATTTGCCCCTACCCTAATTTCCTTTCTTTTGTAAACACAATATAGACTTCCTCCCCAGATATGAGCACACACAACCTCACACTCATTTGTCATAGAAAAAAAACCCTTACAGAGAAAAGTTACATCCTCTCCATGAGAAATAATACATCAGGTTTCTGATTTGGGGTCTACTGTTTTCTTATTTCTTTTATAAACTCAGTCTAATTTTAGTTGACAAGAAATTCTAGAAGCTCCTCAAATATCAGGTTGGCATAATACTTCAAACCATATTTCCAAACAGTTTGTCCCCTGGGAGCTGCACATAAGATTTGAGTATCGACTGGGTCACAGTAGCCTTGGAAGATCATTATTTTCTGTGGATTTTAATATTTTTTACAGATGAACTTTTAGCACAGCCATCTAAGAGACGCAGAAAACATATAAAGTTAAAAGGTGGTCACTATGGTAATAATAATAATAATAATAATAATAATATCTGTTTCCTTATAAGGAAACATTTGCATACATTAAAAGAGCAGCCATTGCTAGTTGAGTTACACTTTTCTCCCACCCTCCATAGTCATCAGACTGGGATCAAAGTGTAGTATCTGTTCTTGCAATATCTAATGTAATGTTAATATGAGCTGTTACCTTATGAAGAACTATTTGGCATTCATTGACTGATCAAGCCAATACTACTTTCAGCTGAAATTTATAACATTTTTCTATTAAAATAATTTTTCTGGAAAGTAAGTTTTTCAATCTCTGTTACTGTCATTACTTTTTCTAGTTTTTCATACTTAAAATTTGTTTGAAGTAGTGTAGAACATCAACATCTTGATTATGCCATTATTTTCTCTTCGAGTTACATGTGCTATCCATTTTAATTGTTGCTGCTGTTGAAAGTCCTCAACTGCTATATTTTTTGTTAATGGGTACAATTCTTTGGTTGTGATTTTGTTGTACCGGTCCACAAGTTTTGAAAAAGATTAAGATCTGCATGCTTCATTTTTAATCATTGATCTGAGAAAACTGTTGTATCTGACATTTTAGATATTTCTGAACAAGTTTGACACTATGCATGACATATGTTCAAGTGTGGACACGTCTGACTACATGCCTGCGTGTACATGTAGAATGTTGTGGTCATTTCTCCTTTTCATTGTTTTTCTTGTCTCTTTATACTCTCTATTGTTTTTATACCTTCTTCTTATCTTTGACACTCAATCTTACATCTTGGGTAGCATATTGCCTTTTCTC